AATTTGTCTTTGATTTCTCATTTCATTAGGTTTTCTTCGAGGAGGTGATCCAATTTTGTCACCTCTTCAAATTTGCTTTTTTTTTTTTCAATCTTGTAAAATCCCTAAATTTCGTCTTCTACAATGGCTTCTGATAATCTCACCGACAAAAATCTCGTTTTCAGAAAACTGAAATCGAAATCTGAGAACAAGGTACTCGATTTTTTCCTCAAATTATCTGCATTTATGTTCTGGGTATCTTCAATTTGATCTAGATCTGGGAATTGTTCGATTAGATCTTCCCAGTTTTGCGTATTGATTCTCATTTTTTGGGGGGTTTTTCTAGGTTTGCTTTGATTGTAGTGCGAAGAATCCGACTTGGGCTTCAGTTACTTATGGGATTTTCCTCTGCATTGATTGTTCAGCTACTCATCGAAGTCTCGGTGTTCATATCAGCTTCGTCAGGTAACATTTTGGATCCAATTTGAGTATCTGATTTGATTCTTCGCCATTATTGTAGCTCAAAATTGTACCAAATCCGTTGATTCTTGCTTGTGTTTGAGCTTTTGATGGCATTGATAGGTATCATGTTGTAGTTTCAGAGTGATTCTTTGTGTTATTGGATTGAATAAACGCTACATTACGGTCTCAAGATGCGACATTTTATTCGTTTTTGTATTCCTCGGTTTGATTATAGGTCAACGAATTTGGATTCATGGAGTACTGAGCAGCTCAGGACGATGATGTTTGGTGGAAACAACCGTGCTCAGGTGTTCTTTAAGCAGCATGGATGGACTGACGGTGGGAAAATCGAGGCTAAGTATACTTCGAGAGCTGCTGATTTGTATAGGCAGCTTCTTGCTAAGGAAGTTGCTAAAGCTATTGCGGAAGAAACTACTACTGGTTTACCGGTATCTCCCGTTGCTGCTTCTGAAGCGTCTAATGGGGTTTCTTCTTATGCTGTTAAGGAAGAGTTACCTCCTAAAGAGACAGCTTCTGTGAAACATGAAGCTACCAGTGCAACTTCTTCGCCTAAAGCTTCTAATACAGTTGTGCCTAGTACGTTTAAGAAACCTCTCGGTGGTAAAAAGACTGGAAAAACTGGTGGTCTCGGTGCACGGAAGCTTACTACCAAGGTAAAGTCTCAGGTTGTTTTCTTGGAGCATTAAAGTTTCTGTTCTCTTGTTCAGATTGAAATATTGGATTTTTTTTGTTCTCTTTGGTAAAATGTAGACAAAGGATAATCTCTATGAGCAGAAACCGGAAGAAGTTGCACCGGTTATTCCTGCTGTATCTTCAACTAATAATGGTGGGAGCAAATCATCAGCTGGTTCATCTTATCCCTCTCGGTTTGAGTACAATGACGACTTTCAATCTGGTGGACAAAGCAGTGGTGGTACACAAGTGCTTAGCCATGTTGCTCCACCAAAGTCGTCAAGCTTCTTTGCGGATTTCGGAATGGACAATTCTTTCCCCAAGAAATCAAGCTCCAACTCGTCAAAAGCTCAAGTAAAACCGTTGTTCTCTGAAAAGAAAAAAATAGTAAATCGGTATTCCAGTCTTCTCTACTTAACTGTGTTTTTTTCTTCTTCCGACTAGGTTGAAGAATCGGATGAAGCAAGAAAGAAGTTCACAAACGCAAAGTCCATTTCTTCTGCTCAGTACTTCGGGGATCAGAACAAAAACGCCGATCTTGAATCAAAAGCTACTCTTCAGAAGTTTTCAGTAAGTAACTTTCCAACTCAATTTCAAAGGAACACGTTCTCGTACTTCGGAATCTAATGCCATTGTGGGAAAATTAACAGGGCTCAGCATCTATATCAAGCGCTGATTTTTTCGGTCACGACCAAGATGATTCCAATATCGATATAACTGCTAGTGACCTCATTAATCGACTTTCTTTCCAGGTAATAAAAAAGATCCACACACACTCGTAAAATCTCTTGTTCTTCTTCTTCAGATTTTAAACCTTTTTGATGAATGTTTTGATTAGGCACAACAAGATCTATCGTCGATAGTGAACATAGCAGGCGAAACGAAGAAGAAGCTTGGAACTTTGGCTTCTGGTATCTTCAGTGATCTTCAAGACAGAATGCTGTAAGAAGAAGATAAAAGGTCTCTCATGTTTTTTTTGAATTTACAGAGAAGAAGAAAGAAAGAAAGCTTTGTCTGAGACTTCCAATGAAGTGTATACGTTTCTCTGTGTTTTAGAGTTGGAATTGAGACATGACTATTGTTGTTATCTACTTACATATATGGATATTATTGGAGATGCTATAGACTTTTTTTTTTTTTTTTTTATTAATCTTTGTTTGTTTGCAGATTTTTAATCGATTTAATTATGATTTTGAATGTTTTTTTTTTTTTTTTGAAACTTATGATTTTGAATGTTTATCCTGCAAATAATAAAAAACATTTTTTCCTCTAATAATCTGCAATATTCTATAGAGTATGACTTATATAAAAAAATATAAAAACTAATTCTCTATTTTCTTAGAAAATTAGATATGAGATAATTGAAATGTTTGTGAATCGCCAACAAAAACCGAGAAAACAAGACATCATCGCAGATCTTTAAATACGAGACACATGCAGTGAAAACTACATAAATTTATCAAGCGATTATTTTATTTAAAAAATTAATTTTATCTTTTTTTATATATATATTTTTAAATTTGACTATTTTTTTATGCCGATAAAAAACTGTAATCTAGTACGTATAAGTACAAAGTACTATAAAGAGTCAACCACCGACCTTACAAAGCCCAAATTTTACCGGATATTGGGAAGCATATCTCTCTCTATCAGAAGAAAGATTACAGTTTCCTCAGAGAGAGATTAAAAAAACCCTAAAAAAATATGGCCTCTCGATTTTCCCTCGCAATTCAAATCATCATCTCCTGAAGTAAATCCTCCGTACGATCTTCCTCCGAATCCTGATTTCGAGCTTCTTCGAATCCGTATCCATCCACAATTCGACGTTTCGTCTCCGTCCGAACGAAACCCTAATTTTTCAATCCCGAAATCGAACTTTGGCTCGATGTTAATGGCTGATTCCGACTTGTCTTCTTCACCGGTAATACCCACCAACTCCGTCGAAACCCTAGAGGAGTCTTCTTCCTCATCAATCGCTGCCCATGTTGTTCAGTCGTTGGCTCTTTCGTCTCCAATTCGCGATCCTGTTGGTGATGATCAGGTTTCAATTCCGCCTCGAAACTCAGATGGTTCTTTTTCTTCTTCTCCGATCAGTTTGGAGCAAGGTGCTGATTGTAATAACAACAACTCGTTTCAAATTGGGAATACTTCGCAAGCTCCAGACGAAATCAACGATGAGATTTGGGGTTCGACTAATATTCGTGAGAGACATGAATCATGGACTCTGAATGGATATGATACTGATGATGAATCTTTATATGGGTGGAACCTACCCTTGAGGAGATACAAGCAAGAGCATGTGAAGATCATTGAGCCTTCTTATGTTGTATGTCTCTCTCTCAATTTTGTTTCAATTTGGTCTTTTACTTTGGGTTTGGAATCTGATTTTGGTGCATTCTTAGGGAGCTGGACTTTGGAATTTAGGCAATAGTTGTTTCGTCAATTCGGTGTTACAATGTTTTACTCACACCATGCCTCTTATCGAGAGCCTCCATACATATAAGTATCAAGATCCTTGTAACTGTAAGGCTCTTCTTCTTCTCAATGTGGCTTTTGGTGTTACCTTGTAATGATCTTAATTATATATATATATGCTTTGAAATTTTGTAGGTGGTAATGAGAGTTTATGTGTTATAAGGGCTCTTCGGTGGCACATCGATTCTGCACTGACGACTTCAAGATATCCATTATCTCCGGTTTACTTTCTCAACAATCTCACCTGTATCCTTCTTCGTAGTTCAATTACTGCTCTTGTCATAAAGGTTTCATGAATATGTTGCTTTTGGTTGCATGATCTGTGTCGCGGATTCTCTGATTCTTTTGTTTTTTCAGATCATGTATTGATTTATCCTTAAGCTATCATAGATTTTTCGTCTGACTTCCACCGTTACCAACAAGAAGACGCCCATGAATTTCTACAAGCGTTTTTGGATAAGTTGGAGAGATGTTGTTTGGATCGAACGAGTGATCGTGGCTATACTTCTTCTCAAGATGATAACATTGTTAAGCGTGTCTTTGGTGGTCGTCTTGTCAGTAGGGTAAGAAGTTAAACTCTAAACATACGTATGGTTCAGTGTTATACAGTATGAATTCTAAATTTGATTCCGGAAAACATGTGTTTTTGTACTTCTTTCAGCTTCGTTGCTGTAACTGCAACTCTGTTTCTGAAACATTTGAAAATTCTGTTGGGTTGAGTTTGGAAATTGAAGATGTGGACGACCTTTGGAGCGCACTAGAATCGTTTACCAGTGTGGAAAAACTTGAAGATCAATTGACGTGTGATGACTGCGAGGAAAAAGTTTCAAAGGAGAAGCAACTCTTGCTTGATAAGTTACCTCAGGTTGCCACGTTCCATCTGAAGCGATTCAAGAACAACGGATTTTTTATGGAGAAGATCTTCAAGCCTGTCGGGTTCCCATTGGTGTTAGACTTGGAGCCATGTATCAGCAATAACCAGAATAACGAAGTATGTTAAAAAAACTGGCAGCGGACTCTCTCTCATCACTCTTTTAAGTACTCGAAATTTGTATTTATCTAAGATTTTACATTTTGACGCTCACTCCATTTCTTTTGTTCTTCAGGTTGAGACAAAATATCATCTCTATGCCTTTGTTGAGCATCTCGGGTCATTAGCTTACGGTCATTACGTCTCCTATGTGAGGTCCGCTCCAAAGACATGGCATAAATTTGATGACCAGAAGGTGATATTTCTAGTAACTTTGGTTGATTCGAAAAGGTTAAACAGATGATTTTGATAAATGAACCATTTCCTTCTTGTGTGTTTGACAAACCTTTGCAGGTCACGAGAATCGATGAACATAGTGTGTTATCACATGATGCATATATTCTTTTCTATGCAAGAGAAGGTACTCCCTGGTTTTCTTCAGCCTTGGAAGAGATGCAGCCATTGCTTGAAGCTAGCTTACTAAACTCTTCGCCAAAGTCTGTCCTTGATCCTAGCAATGGGGAGTGTTCATCTGAAATTAGTTATGAGAATGTGGATAAATCCAACAAACCCTGCAACTCGGTGGTAGTATATAACCAACATGCCAAGACAGAAGAAAACTATGTCTCCCTCTCTGACGAGTCAAACGAAGATATGTTTCTATCAGCACCAGAGTCTAGTGGTGAGGATTCTCCCATGAGAGAGCTTTTGGACCCGGTTTATGATTCTTACGGTCCATGTACCGAAACCTTACAGCAGAAAGAAGCAGATTCCTGTTTAGCCATTGAAAAAGCTATCAATGGTGATAAGTTTGTTCCTGTTCTCATGGTTCAAAATCAAGACGCGTCTCCAAAACAGCAAGGTATTATTCTTTTTATACATGAAAATTGTTGAAACTTTTAAACGATTTTTATGTTTGTCTTCGTATCAGTGTTGAAACTTAAGGAGTTTAGTATTTGGTCTGTGTGTGTGATGATTCTGTGCAGTAGGAACTTTCCATATTCAACTCGAGCATTTGGAAAGCACAAAGAACGAAGAAGAACCTTGTAATCAGCCATTAAAAAGCGACGAGCCAAACAAAGATGTGTCTTTATCAGCAGAGCCTAGTGTCGAGGATGTTCCCATGTCAGAGCTTTCGGACCCGCTTGAGACTAATGATTCTTACGATCCAAGTGCTGAGAAAGAATCGGATGCCTGTTTACCCATTGAAAAAGGAACCAGTGGTGATGAGTTTGTTCTCGTACGCATTGTTCAAAATCAAGACTCGTCTCCGAAACAGCAAGGTAATATTATTTTCACTGAAGGAGTATTGGTAAAAACCTTTCAAACCGAGAGTTTTATGTTTTCTTCATATCAAATGCTTAACTTATGGAGTTTAGTACTTACTCGGTGTGTTTGTGATGATTCTGCAGAAGGAACTTTCGATGTTCGACTCGAGCATTTAGAAACCACAAAGAACCAAGAAGAAGAAGAAGCTTGCAAGCAGCCGTTACTAAGCGATGACGTTGCAGACTATATGGAAACAGAAGAACTTGGTCATGGAGAGCTCACGAAGAAACAGTCACCTCGTCCTAGAGAATTGTACGAAGCCATTGCTTACACTGGTTCTCCAACCAAAAGAATGAAAACCGAATCCGAAAATGATGATCTCTAGCATATGGACAGAAAGAGGTATCTTGGTCGACTTTCTCTGTAGCTTCTTTTTTAGCTAGAAACTTGTTTTTTAGTTTTGATTCATAAAGATTGGTGATGACTTTTGATTAGACCAAATCAGGCTTAATCGTTTTTGGATTTGTGCATAGTTAACTAGTTTCTTAATACTTTTGGTTTACTTGGTTTATTGTTAAAAGCAAGGATTTAGAATCTAATGAGCTTTTAAATTTTGTTAATGGTTTTTTTCCGACAATTTATACCCGCGTGTTTGGTTCGAACCTGAAAACACAGAGACACAATTTATGGATCCACTAGACCGTAGACTTTAGTTTACAGTCCGGAAAATGAATATTGTTAATTACATAGAAAACTGGTTATTGAAATGAAAGTTTGGTTCCGGTTACTTTGACCTCTTGCTTAACCAATGGCAATAATCCAATTGAAATAAATAAAGTACATTTGTCAGTAAAAGAAACTAGAATATTGGAGTATGATAGATATAAATTTATTGATCTTGATTCTTGAATAGAAAATATACAACTAGTAGTTTTTTTTTTTTTGTCGAATGTTCTTACTAAGTCTATGTATGAATGAGTCTACTCTTATTTCGATCATATGGTTAATAAAATTCATTATATGTTTTATAAAAATTTAATAATAAAGAAAAAGAGAAAGGACGATCAGAAGCGGGCCCATTGGGTCAGATATGGCGTGCCGTGTCCAAAGTGCTTCATTTTTGACTTAAACCTTTCAACTTCTCTCTTTTTCTTTTGGCATTTTCGTTTCGACGTCGAGGAAATTAACTCGTGCTTATATGATTTTAAAACGATTTTTTTCTCACAATTTTATCACAAGCTAATCCAGTACCTATATGCGTAATATGAATTAGTAATGACTAACCTTTCAATAGCTTCAATTTTTTTACTAATCATTCAATTTTATTGTTGATCTTTTAATTTTAACGTCAATGAAATAATTAACTAATGTGATGTCATAAGTTAATTTATATCAGATTTTAAAATAATAATATTTTTATATATGTAATGTGGATTACTAAATGTAATAGAGAGAAAATGTGATAAACAAACAAAAAAACAAATTATCTACGAAAAGGTAAGAAAAATGTGGATTGGGACTATCAAAATTTGAAAGTCAAGTTGCGTCCTTTTTTCAAAGTCAATGGACAATAAAATGCAAATAAGACTTGTGAGTTCTTATTTTAATGACTACACACGCATTTTTCAAAATTGTCGCAAAATGCTAGACTTATCACCAATAGAAGTTTTCTACTACAATTAAATAGTTTCAGTTTGCACTTATAGAAACTATATCAAAATGCCGAAAAAGAGAAACGATATCAAAATATGGATTTTTTTTGTTAGATTGTATCAAAATATGTTTCAACTTTTCTGTTGAAAAAAAAAATTGGCGTCTTCCTACATCTACCATCATGCATGACAAATAAATAAAAGCTGTTATTATCATATGACGTCTAATACGATGCATATTATATATGTTTCCTTCTTAGTTTATTTTCTTGTCGTCATTCTTTTTCTTTTATTAAAGGAAATATACGCATTATAAAATTATTAAAGTCACACTATAAGGTTATGATTCATGAGGTTGGAACAAATGATTCATCATCGGGCCAACAGATTGTATATTCGCATGAAACATGGAAGTCTAATTAGCTACGCAATGAGTATAAATCGTATACTAATATACATCAATTTAAATAAATAACTCCATAGTTACCTATCGAATTTTTTTATAACAAAAAAACCAACAAATTATGGTTAGTTCAATACCTAATTAAAATAATTGAGTTCGAATATTGATATTACGTTTAGGGGACATGACAGAGATTCAAAACAGTACTTTGGTAAAATAAAAATTTATGTGTACATATGATTTTGTATAATCAAAGGACATGAGTTTAATATGAAATTTCCTTTTCAAATGATGCATATAGGAATAGTTAGTACTGACTTTGCTATGTTTATTTTACCTAATTTAATTGGAACAACAACCAAACTCAAGCACTAATAAAAACAAAAGGGTGTGTTATTATATAAACACCCATCTTTTGACCTAATTTTCTGCATTAATTTCCTCTTTATTAATTAATTATATTGAAAAAGTTATGAACAAGTACACATGGATTAGGTTATTTATATGTCTAATTCATGAGCTTGTCTCCGCTTATTGCTCGCTTTAAAAGCTATACCAATGGAATCTAATTATTGATATCATCCATCTTCTTGAATATTTATATACACATATATACCAATAATAAGTAGAGAGCAATTCACACTTGTTCCAACTCATTCTCTTCTTTTCTTAATTCTTCTTTCTTTTAATTACAATGTTCCAACACATTCTTATC